ACATGGTGAAGGTCGGCGGCTACATCCTTGGGGAATTTGGGAACCTGATTGCTGGGGATCCCCGCTCCAGGTGAAGGAGCCTCAGGCTGGAGGGTGATCACATGTACTTCTGAAGGGTCTGGAGCTTGAGGGACCCCTAGGAGTCTCAGGGCTAGGGATGATGGGGTTCCTAGGAATGTTTTCAGCCTCTTGCCCCAACCCCCATTGGGATAAGAAAGAACCTTAGTCTCAGGAACCTGGCACAGAGCCTTACAGTGGCTTCTCCCCTGTGACTTTGGGAAATATCAGCCCCTCAAGCCAGCCTGTGTTCCTGGGAAGGGTCCATCTGAGGAGGCGGCTCCTCTTGAGGGGGTTTCTGGAGAGGGCTGTGGAGCCATGGAGCCTCGGCCCATGGGCTGACACCACCCCCTGCACAGCCCCCCGGTGCAGTTCTCCCTGCTGCACTCCAAGTTCCACCTGTGCAGTGTGGCAACACGGGCCCTGCTGCTGTCCACCTACATCAAGTTCATCAACCTCTTCCCTGAGACAAAGGCCACCATCCAGGGTGTGCTGCGGGCCGGCTCCCAGCTGCGCAATGCCGACGTTGAGCTGCAGCAGCGTGCTGTCGAGTACCTCACCCTCAGCTCAGTGGCCAGCACGGATGTCCTGGTCAGAGCCTTGGTCCCCCCACTCCCTCCCTCTGGCCCTTGGCCCCCCTTTTCTTGTGATCACAACTGACACCTTTCCCTGACCACTCCCTACACCAACCCCACCAGGCCACAGTGCTGGAGGAGATGCCACCCTTCCCGGAGCGTGAGTCATCCATCCTGGCCAAGCTGAAACGTAAGAAGGGGCCTGGGGCTGGCAGCGCCCTGGATGATGGCCGGAGGGATCCCAGCAGCAATGACATCAATGGGGGTGTGGAGCCCACCCCCAGCACCGTGGTGAGTCCTGTGGTGTGGGCCCCATATAGTCAGCTGGGGCTGGGGTTGGCCAAGGCACCACCTTTTCTCACCTTCACCTGCTCCTCCTGCAGTCTACACCCTCGCCTTCTGCTGACCTTCTGGGGCTGCGGGCAGCCCCTCCCCCAGTAGCACCCCCAGCGGCTGCAGGTGCGGGAAACCTTCTGGTGGATGTCTTCTCTGATGGCCCAGCTGCCCAGCCCAGCCTGGGGCCCACCCCGGAGGAGGCCTTCCTCAGGTACTGCCCACCCCCTGTGGCCAGGCCCTCTTCTACCCCCAGGGCAGCCCCTTCTCGGCCTCTGCCTCCTTTTTCGTTCAGCTCCTCTCCACCCCAACTTGCTCTTTTCTCCCTGTCCCTGATGCCTTTGCCAGCCCCAGCCGCTGCCTGCCCTGCCCCTGGCCTCGCTCCCTCCGGCCACTCTGGACTCTGCCGACCCTGGCCACTCTTTATTGTCCTTTCCCTTCACCATTTCTCAGCCTGCTCTTCCTTCTCTCCTTCCCTCCTCCCTCTTTCTCTCCCCCCCCCACCCTCTTGCTGCCTCTCTGGGATTGGCTGCCTGCCACACCTGTCTTCTCTTGTCTGCTCTGGGATTGGATGGCCCAGTGAGCTGGAGCCGCCTGCCCCTGAGAGTCCCATGGCTTTGCTGGCTGACCCAGCTCCAGCTGCTGAGTAAGGGATGACCTTAGGAGGTTGGGGGGCAGACTCTGGTGTCCCCAGGGAGGGTGAAGGGACTGGGAGCTCTCATCTAGGGGTTCTTGATAAGCAGCAGAAACAGGGACTTGGAGGAAAGTGAAACTCGGGGTCCTCTGATGGGGGGGCACATACCAAGGTCCCATTCACATTAGGGGCAACTGCCTGTCTAATTACGGGGTACTTTGAAGTTCTTCAAGGAGTCTGAGTATGTGGATTCTGGGTTCTGTCTTTCAAGGGCTTGTTGTCTTGCACCAGTTAGCTCTGGGTTTTTCCTCTCTTCCCCCAAGCCCCTTCCATCTCACTCCTTTTCCTGCTTCCAGCCCAGGTGCTGAGGATATCAGCCCGCCCATCCCAGAAGCCGATGAACTGCTGAATAAGTGAGTACTGGGAGAGGTGGGAGAGGGGAATGGGAACAGGTGGGGAGCCCAAGCCAGGGCCCAGACAGGAATCCCTGTAATCCTGAGCTCCCTGCAACCCCAACCCAGGTTTGTGTGCAAGAACAATGGGGTCCTATTTGAGAACCAGCTGCTGCAGATTGGAGTCAAGTCAGAGTTCCGGCAGAATTTGGGTGCGTCTGGGTGGACTGTGGGGTCAGGGTTGGGGGTAGACCTTGGTTTGGGCAGTGGCTGGGAGGGCATTGGAGGAACTTGGATGGAGCCCTGTCTCCCCCACCCACTGCAGGCCGCATGTATCTTTTCTATGGCAACAAGACCTCGGTGCAATTCCAGAACTTCTCACCCACTGTCATCCACCCGGGAGAACTTCAGACTCATATCCTCTCAGGCTTGGCCCAGCTCTGTCCCTCCAGTTGGCCTTCCTTACCACTGGGAAGCCAACTGACCCAGGTCCAGTTCCCTGTTCTGCTCCTCTTACTGTGAGAGCTTGGAAATGTGGTACTTCTCTGAGATTTAGTGTCTTTATGTCTAAGACAGCAGTGGGCCTCTTTCTCCAGGACAGGAGATCACAATGATGTGATATACAGGAGGCATTACTTCTGGGACTCTAGCTGCTCTGGGCCTCAGTTTGTCTTCTCAGATACCTTCCATGTCCTGACCTTGTCCTCTCTCAGGCTCCATGCTGTAATTCCAGTGCCTCCTGAACTTGGGAGCTAGGCCAGGAGGGCTAGATGCTGACCAGGGCCTTCTCCTTTGTGGCCTGGGCTGAGTTACTTTGCCTCTCTAAACCTTCCTATCCCCTCTGTGAGGTATAAACCCTCTTCCCTCTCATAGGGTTGTTCTGAGGATCAAGGCAATTGGAAAACTCTGGAAGGGTGGCTGGCGATGTCAGTCCTTCTCTGTGCTTCCATTTCCACATCCCTGAAATTAGAGTGGCTAGACCCCAAAACTCTGAGGACCTTTTCAGGGGTTTCTGGCAGCTGGCCAGACCTTTTCAGTTCTTTGCTTCATTCATTCATCCATCATTTTCAGAGGCTCCTGTAGGCAACTCTGTGCTGAGCATGGGCGGGGGCGGGGGCAGCGGAGATGCGTAAGATCCAGTCCTTGCCTATGGGTTATTGACGTAAAAGCAGACATAATGCAGATGGTGATAACAATACTAATTGCCATCATCTTTGTGTACTTAAGATGTGCCAAACACATAGACAAGTAATTGTAAAGATTATTTTCTTGACTCTGGAGGACATTTTACACATGCCCATTTTGCACATGAGGCTAAGAAAGGTTAAGTGGCTTGCCCACTGTCGTCCAGGTGGTAAGACTAGGACTCAAGTCCAAGTCAGCCTCCAGAGCTAATGCTATTATGTCTTGGTTCAGTGTGACATGTGCCATAATGGAGGTCTCTGAAACCATTGTGGAAGGCCAGAGGAGGCACCTAGGGGATGGATCAAAGGATTCACACAGAAGGGACTTTGGAGCTGGGCCTTGTAGGATGAGTCCAGGATTGCATGGCTGGGCCTGCCAGAAAACCAGGGGTTCGTGGCTAAGACCCCCTCGGGGCCTGCCTCTGTGTCTGGTTTCCTTGACCATGGGCGGGCACAGCTGGCTGTGCAGACAAAACGCGTGGCAGCACAGGTGGACGGCGGGGCGCAGGTGCAGCAGGTGCTCAACATTGAGTGTCTGCGGGACTTCCTGACGCCCCCACTGCTGTCAGTGCGCTTCCGGTGAGTCAAGCGCGGCGTTTCCGGGAGGGAGGTCTCCTAGGGCGAGGGGCGGGGCCTGATGGAGCCCGCCCCCGCCCCTGCCAGGTACGGCGGTGCCCCCCAGGCCCTTACCCTGAAGCTCCCGGTGACCGTCAACAAGTTTTTCCAGCCGACAGAGATGACAGCCCAGGACTTCTTCCAGCGTTGGAAGCAGCTGAGCCTGTGAGGAGTGGGGGGCGACCCCAAGCTGCGCTTCAGGGGGGGCAGCACCAGGGGCTTCCGGGTCCCTGACTTGAGTCCCCATCCGCAGCCCTCAACAGGAGGCACAGAAAATCTTCAAAGCCAACCACCCCATGGACGCGGAAGTTACTAAGGCCAAGGTGAGAGACTGGGGGTCATATTTGCAGGGCAGTGGCCACTTCACTTCTCTGAGCCTGTTTTCCTATCTGTAAAGTAGGGCCAATTCCCACCCCAAAGGGTTTTTGGGAACTGCGCCGCCACCACTGCCACTGTTCAGGAGCTAACAGAGCTCTGGCACTCTCTGATGGCTACTTCCCTCCTTCCCAGCTTTTGGGGTTTGGCTCTGCTCTCCTGGACAATGTGGATCCCAACCCTGAGAACTTTGTAGGGGCTGGAATCATCCAAACTAAAGCTCTGCAGGTGGGCTGTCTGCTCCGGCTGGAGCCCAACGCCCAGGCTCAAGTAAGTATTGGTGTGGGGCCCGTAGGCCAACAGGAAGGATTCCTGAGGCTGCTGTGTCACCCTCCCTGTCTTGTGTCCACCCCACCTGCCTCATGCATTCTTTCAGTCACGTCTCCCTTTGACCCTCTCTCTCACCGCTCCTTGTCCCCATTGCCATTCATTATCTCTGTCTTCTGGTCTTCTATATCCTTTCCACCTTCTCTGTTTTATATCTTTCATCCTTTTCCTTCTGTCTCCTCTGTTGCCTTTATTCCTACCACCTGTCTCTTGTATAACTTTTCTGACCCCTTTATCCTTCCTTCTCTTCCCATCTTTTGTGTCCCCCTCTCCCTGGGCTCTCTCCCCTCTCATGTGGCTGGCTGCATCCCCTGAGTCCTCCACCAATGCCCCCCACCCAGATGTACCGGCTGACCCTGCGCACCAGCAAGGAGACCGTCTCCCATCACCTGTGTGAGCTGCTGGCCCAGCAGTTCTGAGCCCTGGACTCTACCCCTGGGGATATGATCGGCGCTGGGTAGCCCCTAGGACTGAGGCAGCTTTGGTAGATGAAGCATTGAGGGACCTCTTCTGGTGACAGGGAAGACCCCAGGGGTGGGGAGATCCCTGAGACCTTCCTCTGGCCTTTTGTATTTTTATTTTTGTTCAGTCTGCTGCTGTTTACATTCTGGGGGGCAAAGGGGAGTCCCTTCCCTCCCTTCCCCCCCCCCAAGCACAGAGGGGAAAGGGGCCAGGGAAATGGGTGCCTCCTCCCCTCCCACCCCATCCCGTCGTAGCCCCTCCTACTCCCTCTCCATCCAGGGGCTGTGTATTATTGTGAGTGAATAAACAGAGAGACACTAATAGCCCCATGTCTGTCTCCATTGCCCACTCCCAGGTGGTCAAAGAAGTGGGGTGAGGGCATGCAGAGTGTGTGTGGCCAGGCTTCGAAGTCCATGCGTGGGACTCTGAGGAGCCAACAGCAGTAGCAGCTGCCGAGGCCCCAGCTGCAGAACCATGAGCCGCAATCCCCTTCTTGGCTCCCCATGCCTCAACACCAGGTAGCAGGCCCTAGGCAGCTGGGCTTGGTGGACCGCATCCTCTGCCTTCTCTGGTAGCCCTGGCTCTGAGGAAAGGACAGGCAGGACTGAGGTGACCCATGGGGCTGAATGAGTAGGATGCTAACCTTCAGAAGCCACACCCCATCCTGGGCCTAAGTTCTGAATCCATGGGATTTCTTAGAACAGGCTTTGGGAGCTTCCCAGGTGAGGGCTTCCAGGGCTCCAGCCAGATGTCAGTAACCTTAAGAAGGCCACAGACTCATTCAGCTCACCCTCTTCCCATCCAGCCTTGGTCCCTGTTTCCCTAGGGAATAGTGTGTGCAGCCCCAGGCAACACAAATCACAAACGTGCAGGTGATACTTACTGTGTGCCCGACACTCAGCTGTGACACACAAGCTCCAGTAGCCCTCCTGAGGACCCCACCCCACTGCACAGGAGATGTGGAGTGGCCAGCTAGGAAGGGGTGTGGCCCTCAGAGTAGGAGCTCTTTACCACTGTGTTACATTCAGCAGGGTCTTCACTGGGGTTGTAGCGCCAACCTAGGTCCCTTTATCCCTCTGCGGCCTTATAACTTTCCTTCCTAACCTGGAATCTGTGGAATCCTTTCCCACCCCCACCCCCCAGACTATCAGCAAAGCCTGTGCTTTCAGCAGTAGTGCAGAGTGGAGTGTGTAGATATGCGGGCCAGACCTCCTGTGTTAGAATTGTGGCTCTGTTGCTTATTAGCTGAGCCTGTTTCTTCATCTGCAATAAGAGAATAATGACATAAGAGGATAATCCTCACCTATGAGGATGAAGTGAGTGGTTACATATCAAAGCACTGGCAAGAACAGAAGAGGTCTTAGTGTTAAATGCTTCTAACTACAGTCATGCACCACATAACAACGTTTTGGTCAACGATGTACCACATATATGACGGGAGTCCTATAAGATTATAATACTGTATTTTTGCTGTACCTCCTCTATGTTTAGATACACAAATACTTAACAGTTTGTGTTGTGGTTGCCTACAGTTTTCATACAGTAACGTGCTGTTCAGGTTTGTAGCCCAGGAGCCGTAGGCTATGCCATACAGCCTAGGTAGCAAGCTATACCATCTAGGTTTGTGAAAGTAGACTCTGTGACATTCACACAACAAAAGTGCCTAATGACACATTTCTCAGAATGTATCCACATTGTTAGGTGACACATGACTGTATTAGGGTTACCCAGGAGGTTCTGAAACCAGGAAGGGACTTCCCCTCCCCTCCCTTCTGTGTCAAAGCTCAGTTCTCAATTAAAACCATGCCCAATGCGTGCTGGGTTCTCCTTCCAGTTTCTCCTACCCTACCTCTTACTCCCACCTTCTGGGACCTAGGACTCAAGTGTCCCTGCCTATGCAGTGGGGTACGGTGCCTGCTGCTGACCTGGTGGGAAGTGCGTGGTGGTGACCAGAGTGTAGAAATTACGGAGGAGGCGCCGGCGCTGTTCAGGAGAAGGTTCTGGAGGGAGAGAAGAGACAGTGATGGAGAGCACCTCCCTGGTCCGCCCCCCTCCCCAGTTCACGCCCCTCCGCCCCACCCTTGTCCTCAGTCACCTTTATCCCCAAAGGGCTCCACGGTAAAGAGGCAACGTTTCAGTTCCAGGTGGAGTAGCAACAGCCTGTGGGAAAGGGGGTGTCATGGCCAGGGAAGAGGAGATGAGGACCCCCCCCAACCCACTACCCCATCTGAGCCCTACCCAAGGATGTCCGTGTGCAGGGGGAAGCCATCGGGCAGCGCTCGGGGTCCAAGCGGCAAGCAGGTCCGTAGCGGGCCCAGCAGTGGCTGCCACCAACGCTCCAGAAGCTGTGGGAGCGCGGTAATGGTAGGCGGGGCCAGAGATAAGGGCGTGGCCAGCAGGTGAGGTCAGGGAGGTACCAGAGGCAGAAGACGCGGCCTACAAGAAGAAAGGAGGGCGGGGGCGGAAGGGGCAGTGGAAGGGGAGGCCCAGGAGGATACGGGAGGAGTGGAGGCGAAGCCGAGCTGGGGAGAAGGTGATTGGAGCGCAGTTTGCAATGGGCGGGGCAGGGGTGAGAGGAGGGGCTGGGGGGCGGAAGGGGCCGTGGAAGGGGAGGCCCAGGAGGATACGGGAGGAGTGGAGGCAAAGCCGAGCTGGGGAGAAGGTGATTGGAGCGCAGTTTGCAATGGGCGGGGCAGGGGTGAGAGGAGGGGCTCGTAGGTAGAGGGTGTGATAAGTGGGAAAGTGAGACAGGGCTGGATTCACCTGTGGGTCCAGCTGGCGGAGGGCTGGGCGTGGCCCGCACAGCAGACACAGCTCCAGGCTTGGCAGCAGCGTCAAGGTCAAAAGTCGGTGCGGGACCTGAAGGACACAGGGTGGACAGTGCTGCCCCTTCCTATCCCAAGTCTCGCCTCCTTGCGACTCGACCTCTGTCCCACCCCTCTCGCATTTGTCCAAGACCTCACCTTCCTCTACCCCAACCCCGCCGGCCCCACCCACTCACCGTGGGACTCCCGTGAGGCAGGTACACAGGGTAGTCGCGAGCGGCCTGCGGCGGCAGGGACCCTACCAGCCAGGGAAGCAGCACGGCCTCGGGCGTCCCCAGCCGCCACCAGCCCTCTGTTGCTGCCACTACCCGGCCCGACACCACGAGACTGACGAAGGCCGTGCCCGCGGCCTCAGCGAACCCGGAGAGGGCTTCCTGGGTACGAGAGGCAGGCGACTAGGAGTCAGGACACAGGAGCAGGGAGTGCAGTGACTTCCCAGGTGGTCAAGGAGTGGGAAGAGACCGACGGACAGTCCAGAGCTTGCTAAGTGGCCATGCTCTTGTGTGTCATCGTCTCGGAGGCTGAGTTCCTTCACCTTCACATGCAGCCACAATCCCCAACTCACATTGTGAAATTTGATTAAACTGATCTGTGTATACTGAAGCTAATTTTGGGGGTTTTTTTGGCAGCTGGCCAGTATGGGTGTCCGAGCCCTTTACCCTGGTGTTGTAACACTGCGCTCTAACCAACTGAGCTAACCCAGCCAGCCCTGAAACTAATTTTAACAGCAGCAGCTTACGGTTTACAGAATCCTATTTATTATGTGCCAGGTAGGCACAATCAACGACCTACTGAACTGAAGCTCAGAGAAGGCAAAGTACCTGCCAAGAGTCACACGGCTGGGATGGGACCACACCAGTAGATCCACAAGAGCGATATTTAAGGAAGGGTTGACTAGTTAGCTCAGTTGGTTAGAGACTGGCCTTATACCACCAAGGTCAAGGATTCAGATCCCTGTACCTGCCAGCCGTCCAAAAAAACAAAAAAAAATTAAGGAAGGATAGATAGAGATTCACCAGGGATAAGGAAGAACATGTACCAAGCTTGGGAAGCTGGGAAGCTGTTGGGATTTGCAGGATCGGTGAGGCAGCTGGGCAAAGATGGATTGTGGATTTAGCAACAAGTTGGCAGGTGCCAGATTCCACAGGCCCTCAAACACCAGGATGCGGGGCTGGGACCTTGCTCTGAGGGAGATGGAAGCCATGGGAGGGCTATGGGGAGAGGAGGGCAGGGGCAGCTCTGGGTGTAGAAATATTCTGCTGGGGCCAAGTCAGGGTCAGACTAGATGATGAAAGGATAGGAGGCGGGGACAATGGTCCAGGGGAAGGAAGATGAGGACTGAGTCAGGACCATAGGGACAGATTTAAGAGTTTCCATAGCATCCCCAATACCTGCAGGAGGGACCCCTCTGGAGGAATCACACAGTCCACACACTGGGTAAGGTCCCCAATGAGCTCCGAGTCCCCTAGGAAGCTGTCGATGAGGCGGTAACTGGCCTAGCAAAGAGAGAAGGGAGGAGCCTAGGACCCATGTGGGCCCCAGATCTGCTGCCTCCCCCTTGGAAAACTGGCAAGGCCAGGCCTAGCTCCAGGGTCAAACAACCAAGTTGCCCCAGGAACCCAGGGGATTAGGCTGCCCCAGGGGCTGCTGGGAACGGTAGCTCCCAAATGACAGTGCCCAGATACCTTAACTCCCCATCCTCATGTCCTGCAGCCTCACCCTCAACTCCTTCTTCAGTCTCTCTACATTGCGGATATTGGTCAGTTCTTCAAGTCCCACAAGAAGAACCTAGAAGAACCACATAGGAGAGTAGGGGCCCTGGACAACTGGTTCTAAGAGAGAAGGGCATGGAACACAAACTCCTGGGTCTTAGGGAAGAAGGGACTGGGACCTGGGTTCTTGGGTATGAGGGAGGAGGGGCTGGGGACCTGGACTCCTGGGTCTGAGAGAGAGGGATGCTAACAGCTCAAGATTCCTGGGTTTGGGAGAAAAGGGCTGAGGCGACTCACCATGGCCCCAAACACCATCTGGAGTAGTCTCTCCAGCCTCAGCTCCGAGGTGCCCTCCTCAGGTGACAGAACAATGAGAGTGATGCTGTGCAAACGTAAGGTGAGAAGGAAGAATGAGTCCAGGTCTGAGAAACAGGGCAGTGGGTACAGTAGAGCCTGCCAGTTGATCATAGAATGTTAGATATGTCCTCCCTCAGCCCAACCTGCCTCTCTTACAGAGAAAACCAGGAATCAGAGAGGGTAACGGGCTTGTCAAAGATCCCACAGCCAAATAAACAGCTGGCCTTAGAGAGATGGAACGCCTCTGGGGTCCTCTTCAACAGGAGCTATCAACCAGGCCCTGTCCCTGCCCCAAACTCCCGCCTGGGGACCTGTCATGGAAGCTTTTCCACACCACGATCGTGTCCTCGGTCCTTGCAGAACTCAGCTGCGCTTCCAGATTCTGCCCGAACATGTGGACTCCATTGAGGGAGCCGATGACAGAAAACGGGAGCTGAGGAGGCGTTAGGGACATTAGACAGGAGTCCCGAACCCGTCCTACTTGGGACACACGTGTCCAAGCTCCCAGCCCCCTTCTCTTCCCATACCCTAAGGCAGCTCCTCTTTGGGGAAACCAGGCTTAGCCCACTGCTCCCTCGATCCTCTACATTCAAAACTGAAACCTCCCTTGGGCCGGCCCGTGGCTCACTCGGGAGAGTGCGGTGCTGATAACACCAAGGGCACAGGTTCGGATCCCACATAGGGATGGCCGGTTCACTCACTGGCTGAGCGTGGTACTGACAACACCAAGGCCACGGGGGTTAAGATCCCCTTACCGGTCAGCTTTAAAAAAAATAAAAAATAAAAAAATAAAAAACCTCCCAACCCCTACTCCCTGGAAGACCCGAAGTCCAAGCGCCTAACCCTCTTCCACTTAGATCCAGGCGTCCAGGGCCCCACCTGCGGACGGGCGGGGTTGCCGCCGCGGCTGCTCCTGCAGAACAGGGGCACCCCGCTGGAGGCCGCGAGGCACAGCAGATGCACGGCGCTCCCCGACCTCTCGTCCCCCATCGGGAACACCCGCACGTGGGAACGGTCAGTGCCGGTCTTGGAGCATGCCGGCAATCACACTAAGTCGGCCTGCTGTCCAGAGCCGCCAGAGGGCGGGATGCGGAGCTCCCTGGAAGAAGACTCAATTCCCGCCGGCTCCATCCGACTCTAACAGCAGCTCGATCCCTATCCCGGCACCTCCCCGCAACCCCCTTAGGTTTACTTCCGCCCCGGCCGGAAGTCGCATTATCCCTAACGAAGATGGCGGCTAATTGCACTAGCAAAGCTTTGTAGTTTCTGCCCTAAGCGGTTTAACTCTATTTACTTAAGGAGGAGAATGAAGAGGTCAGCTTGGAGATGGTGACGGCACCAAGGCATTGCCTAGCAGCCATCATGTAGGATACAATGATTTGTATTATAAATTGAAAAAGTAACTGGCCCGATGAAAGATGACGACGTTGTCGCGTTGCTTAGCAACCACCGTTTAGTCAAATTTCTGTGCTAAGCTGTAAACAGCTGTGCCCTGCCCAGACATGGCCGCACGTCCAAGTCCAACACCGGCCATCCGTAAGGAGAAATCGAGAAAAATACCATCTCCCCGTTATCTTAAAGGGTGGTTTGATCCGGCAAGCGTTGCTTAGTAACCACCAGATAAGGCGGTGGTTTTTATTAGAAAAAGAAAAATCCAGAGTCATAAAGATAACATTATTTTTGTAATGAATTTATACATGACAGCGTATTATGTAAAATGTGAAAATAATACTTCCCAAATTCTTTCCCTAAAATAAGACAGTTTTACACAATATTCATACATGCTTTCACAAATATGATCATTGTAATAACGTTTTCATACATTCTTTTTCTCACTAAAAAGTACTAATCTAGGGCCGCAAGTTTCAAGGTTCGATTTCTTTCTTTTTTCAAAGATGACCGGTAAGGGGATCTTAATCCTTGACTTGGTGTTGTCAGCACCACGCTCTTCCCAAGTGAGCTAACCTGCCATCCCTACATGGGATCCGAACCCGTGGCCTCGGTGTTATCAGCACCGCACTGTCCCGAGTGAGCCACGGGCCGGCCCTCGAGGGTCGGTTTTTTTTTTTTTTTAAAGATGACCGGTAAGGGGATCTTTTTTTTTTTTTTTTTTTTTTTTTTTT